AATGCAAAGCCCTGCACTGGATTCCTGGAGGATAATAAAGAATCAAGCAGCTTAGCATTTAGTTGGGAAAACAAGACATACAATGGAAAAGTTAAATAACAGTGCCTAACAGTATATGTCCAAATGCCAAGTGAATGGTGTAGCCAATGAATAAACTTTAAGATACTAAGAGGAAAGAGCCATCTCCATCAGTTTCATGCCAGGGCATGCTTTAGAGGGCTGGAGAGCTGACAGACAGGGGTCATCTAAAACTTCCAATTTTGGAAGGGTAAGAATTTGGAATTTTATTTGAAATCTCCTAATTTTTAAATGTTGGTAAGTAATTCAAACTTTCAAAAACTTCAGTGTGAGTTCCATTGTGTGGGCAAGATAGAACTGGTCGGGGAGCTGAGTTGGGGTTGGGAGCCAACGGTGTGCATTCGGGGTGGATGGCTTACTGAGTTGGGTGAGAAGTCAGACGCAAAGAACGTTAAGATCCTTGCCAATGAGAAGATTCCGGGTTCTAATATTTCACTTATGTGTGAGGCGATCAAGATCTGGGCTTAGAAGGGGGCAGTGGGCATGGGAAGAAAGGAGAGGTAAGAGAGAGATTAGGGAATATTAATACCCTCCATTTATGTACTAGTTTATGGTCTACACAGTTTGTCATTGGAGGTAGGATAGAATAGAGGCCCAGAGGGTAGGCTCTGAAGTCAGACTGACTGGGTTCATATCCCAGCTCTACAGTGAATTCCCACGGAGGCCTGGAACAATTCACAGAAGGTTGCGCAGCCTCAGTTTCTCAAGCGCTAAAAAGGACTGATGCTAAGGAATCCACATATTTCATAGAGTCGTTGGCTGATTTTAAATAATAAAATGTGCATGAAGCTCTTCGTGTGTTAAGCCTGGCTCACAGGAAGCACCAATCAGTGTTCACTCTTACTATCATCACACACAGCATTTCTCTTTAATCCTTGCAACAGCTCCCTGTTAGGGTGAGAAGAATGCACAGGATGGATGACGGAATCTGGGGGTGGGAGTGGGAGGTGAACAGGAGGAGTCAGGAGCGATGGCCAGAGCTTAGCCTTTGGTTTGTAGACTCAGCTGTATTGCTGAAACTGACTCTAGTTTTCTGGGCCCTTCACTTAACCCCTGTGGGATTTTTCTTCCTAAAGTGTGGCTCCTTGCAAATCATAGTCTCCATAATTTTAAAAAACTGGATTTTTGAGTATGTAGGAAGAATAATGGCTCCCCAAAGATGTCCCCTTCTAATGCCTCAAACCTGTAGCTATGTTGCCTTACATGACAAAAGGGATTTTGCAAATGTGATTAAAGCTCAGGACTGGGAGATTGGGGAGGTGATCATGGATTGCCTGGGTGCGCCCATTCTAATCACTCGAGTTCTTAAAAGTGGAAGAGGAAGGCAGAAGAGTGAGTCAGACGGATGCTGCATGAGAAGGACTCCCCCTACCCCATCCCACTGTTGCTAGCTTTGAAGATGGAGGAATGGGGCCAAGAAATGTGCGTGGCTTCTAGAATCGAGGAATGGCCCTCAATTTATAGCCAGCAAGAAAATGAGGACCTAGGTCCTCCAACTGCAAGGAACTGAATTCTGCCAGTTATCCAAATAAGGAGGACACAGGTTCTCCCCCAGAGCCTCCAGAAAGGTGTGCAGCCTGTTGACACCCTGATTTTAGTCTGGTGAGACCCATGTTGGACTAATGACCTACAGAACTCTAACGTAACAAGTTTGCATTGTCTTAAATCACTAAGTTTATGGTAATTTGTTACAGCAGCAACAGGAAACTAATATACTGAATTTTCCAGTTTCAGTTGTTTGGCTAGTGTTACCAGAGGTCCATCAAATTCAAGAATGATATGGAAATGCTGTGGGGCGATGGGGGACAAGGTCTTGGATATATGGGGTTGCAGAGGCAATGACAGTAAGGCATTCACATGGCAGTGCTCAGACCACACTTGATCATGTGGGATTGGATTTGGGGAGGTGGTAGCAGTAAATTTGAAAGAATGTGCCAGGGAGGCGATGTGGGGAAAGAGACCCCGTCGAGGGGGGCCACTTTCTTGAGTTGCCAGTTCCTCTGTTTGGCATCCATTCGAAGCTTAGGCATGCCAAACTCCTGGTCATCATAATTGCAGTATACGGACTTTGTTTTAAAAAATCACTAGGGAGTCATATTGAGTAAATTTTATAGACAGCTCACAATAATTTTATTTATGGATTTAAATCGAGATTTCAATAAATGAATAATGCTTTAAATTTTGCTCTTTGTAAGTTTCCAAAGGAAAATCTGAAAAATTTAAATGTTTTTCCTTTCTTTGCTTGTGAATCTTTTTAACAATGGAAACGTTTTGTCTCCTAAGAGTGACATGGAACTCAAATATATGACTCACTGGAAATGCCAATCACCCCCTTGGTTTTAACAAATGGGAAGTGAGTTAGGAGAGAGCCCAAGAGAAACAGAGGCTGATACTCAGGAAAATGTAAGGCCTATGGGACGTCTCTGTGGGACCAAGAGGAGTGATGTGGAGCGTTATAATGAGAGACAGAAAAAGTGAATAAAATGTTAGTCACTGAGTAATCGGGCCCCTAGAAGAAAAAAAATGCCAAAAGAGAAAAAGCGGACAATAACAACTTAAAAACCTTTAACATTTATTTACTGGGTTCCCTCCCTTCATCAGTGTAGGTCTCTGCTGGGAGCCCTGTAGGCTGGGATGGGCTGGCCCTTGATCTATGTTTTGATCAGGTTTTACCTCTTGATTGTGAATCCATGCCTATCAAACCTGTCTACCGAGAGATGGCCAACCAGGAAAGTTCCTTCTCTACTCTGGCTCGCCTATTACCCTTGAGTTGTCCATTTCCTCTAGTATCTAAGAAAGAGGTAAAACTCAGATGAGCCCCTTTCCCTGTGGGTATACAGCTCTTGTCAAAGGATTTAGCAATGGAGAAGGTTGAACAACTGGTGACTCTGGTCAGCCACTGGGCAAAATTGAAAAGGAAGCAGTATTAGCCCCTGTTGCCCTTCAACATCACTCTCCATCCCTCTTCCCTGGTACTCAACTCTTCCTCAGTGCCTTCATGCTGTTCCCTGCCTGTGCCACGCTCCTACACCACTCTACCTCACCTGCCTAAACTGATGTGTCATTTTCAAGTAGCCCATATTGAATGTTGATTCTTCCTGAAAATTTTCAACATGGCCCAGTATGGTAGGTCTTTGCTACATAATCAGAAGACTTCAGCCAGTTGGAATTAACTCATACTAAGCTGTGAATGACTGATTTCCCCTTAGTGCTCCCAGGAGCATTCTCAAAATTAAACTCCTGTTAATTCAACAGACTCTTTGATTGGTGGGATATTTAAGGTAGCATGAGGGATATATTGAAGGACAGAGACTAAGAAGAGGCAATGCCAATTAAGTTAGGGCGTCAAGACACTAACTACTCTGCGCTAACCACTGGAGCACTCGTTCAGTCCTGCTTTCAAGAAGAACTGTGTTTTAATTATACCAGAAAATAATCAGTACCCTACCACCATTTAAGGAAAATAGGCTCCTGGAAGCTACCAGGTATGTTTCACTGTGCCATTTTAGTTTCTAAATATACTTATTCTTTCTTTTTAATTGTATCTCAAGATACCACTATGGAAATAACCATTCCTTTGTAATTAAAAACAGTTTAAGAATTTGTAAGGTAATACCCCATTGGGTGAGAGTTTGGGAAAGTAACACTCTTTTGTACTGCAAAGAGCAGTATAAATTGGTTTGTTTTCTGTAAGGCGTCTTGGCAATCAAAATTCATGGAATTTCTGAAAGAAATAGCAAGTATGTATGCAAAAATTTACCAAGAGGATTTCTTGCAGCGTTGTTTGTAATCGTGAAAAACTGTGCACACTAAAATGTCCATCAAAAGGAAATTTGTTATATAAATTAATGGTACATCCAATCAATGAAATGCTACGCAGTCATTACAAAATGGTATTGGGGAAAATTATTTAATGATATAGAACAATGTTCAGGATATAGTGTCATGAGAAAAGCCAGGTTACAAATAGTTTTAAGTGACATGATCTTTCTTTTCGTACATATAAGTACATGTGTGTACACATACATTCATATATTTATATTCATATGTAGATATACATTAACACATAGAGAAAAGAATATACGTCACAATGTTAATGTCATTTATGTCTGGGTGGTGAAATTATAGGTGGTTTTAATTTTCTTCTTTTTGTTTATCTGTAATTTCGGAAGTTTCTCCGATAAGTGTGTTCTTTTTCATAGAGAAAAAAAAAGAATTACTTTTAAGGAATCTAGCATCCTCCCAAAATAAGTAACACAGCAGTTCTTGTAGTTTATATACCCAGAGGTGTCTGATTGGCTTAATTAAAGGTATAAAGTCTGCGCTAATAGGTATAAACAGAAGTACAGTTACGGGAAGTTTAATTTATGCAGATGTGTACATTTACACATTCTAATGGACATTTGCCAACAACCGAAGTTCTTAGTCATCATTTTTATTTTAAAATGTACTAAACTATTATATAACAAAATATATAGAGTACCATCAGCAGTTAAATTGGAAGAATTGCTTCACCAGAGATATGTCTTTGTGCAGAATTGAAAGAACTGATTAGGCTGTTGAAAATAATAGTAAATTAACACACTGCCCTCTTTTGGTAGCTATTTGCAACTCATTTTACGTTCACTGCCGTTAAAGATGTTAATCTACAAATGCATGTACAAACTAATTTTATTTACTTTTACATTTTTTTTATTGAAGTATAGTTGATTTACAATAATGTTGTGTTAGTTTCAGGTGTACAGCACAGTGATTCAGATATATATATATATATATATATATATATATATTCTGTTTCAGATTCTTTTCCATTATAGGTTATTACAAGATATTGTAATAATTCCCTGTATTATACAGTAGGTCCCTGTTGTTTAATCTACAAACAAACTAAACTAATTTTAAATCACCTTTTTCGTCAACAGAGCATGCTGATAATTCCAGTTTGTTATCACCTTCTGGTAAGATTGTTATTTTATGACTTTGGGAGAATTTTAGCAAAATATTCTAAAAGTTCTCCATGCAATGTCAGATACAGAAAAATTGTTTTCTTCTATGAAGCTTAGTTAAATTCTGTCATTAAACCTACTCCCAAAAAATCAAAGCAGACACAGACAACAGGGTAGTCTATCAATACCCCCCAGTTGCTAAACAAAGCTAGGGACTAAGTTGTGGGTTTTCATCATGGTAACTGCTTCAGTTCTTCAGTGTTATTTTTAGTATTCTAGTTCATGTCTCCTGAAGAGTATCAAGGACATAAACATGGTAAATGTTCCTATATTTGAGGGTTGAGATGTTCTCTTAAGTATACTTCCTCAGCACCCCACTGAATTAATATTTTTCAAAAGGCTTCTAAAGGCTTAGCACTCATGAGAATGGGAAGGCAAATCAGTAAAGAGAAATTTATAACTAGGACCTGTCTTGTCAGGAACCAGGAGCTGAACCTGCATTCCAGACTGCTGGCTACAACGGGACCTCAGGGATAAAGTGGTCCCACCCCATCCCTTAGTTAATAACACGGTGAAGCCTGGAGAGGCTGAGTAACTTATCTAAGTTCACACGGCTTCTTGCCCCACATCACAGAGGCAGCACATGGATTCTCTAACTCCTACTTCTGTGTTTCATTCTGTAATATATATACCATATAGTACAGAACAATCTTTTACGGTAAGGAGTGAGTCAGCTCACACTGTCCTTAGTTATGTGAAAATGAGCTTCTACTGTTCTTAATTCATTTAACTAAAATTAGTAATAATCGCTATTACTGCTCATGCACATACTAAATGTCTGGGAGTCTTCCGACATCTCGTTTTGCTTCCAATCTTGCAGTATAGGGATCGTTATATTCATGTTATAGATGAGGAAACCGAGGGTCAGAGAGGATGAAACTTGCTCATGTTCACACATTCTCTGGAGCCACACTACTTGGGTTTGAATTTGGCCTCCTCCCGCCCCCCCCCCCCCCCCCCTGCCGATGCAGGAGACGCGGGTTCGTGCCCCGTTTCGGGAAGATCCCACATGCCGCGGAGCGGCTGGGC